ATGCCTATGGTGTCTATTTTCATCCCTAATAAAACATTAGTAATATTTATACTGCTTATGGACTCCATTTTCATTCCTAATAAAACATCACTACTCTATATTAAGTCTAGATGGGGTCTATATTCACTACTATTTATATTGCCTTTAGGATTTGTATTCAGCCCAAGTAAACATTTCTGGTGAGAATATTCAGCATCCCAAGCTTATCGTAGGAGGCAGCTATATCTACTTTTGGTAAGAGACGACCAGAAGGATCGGGTTGTCAAGACTCGCTGTTTTGGCTGATAGTTGACATCGTATCCCAATGGGTCAGATACATGTTCCTGATGGTGATCACTGGATTGTCTGGCCCATAGTCTATTATTTACAGGCCGCCGTTACGCAGCTTGAATATTGCTGAGTGCGCCGTAAAACAAGTAAACAAACAAAAAAATCATTACTAATTATATTAGGATGCCTAAATAAAACGCTACTTTCATATATCTTCGATCAGATTGAGATTTGTGTTCGTTTTCGCAAGATGCTTTAACATACAGCACCTCAACAACTGTACGTGTTGTTATGACGTACTGGTGTGAGAAAATAAAGAAAAAAATACTTTCATATACCTTTTAGATTTGATTTTTAATATATTTGGCACATGTTTCAAGCATTTAATTTCCAGGACCACATGACAAAAAGAAAAGTGACAATCTAAGAGATTACATGTCCTACCGTAACATTCTTGCCTAATAAAATACACAATCTTTCAACACCACTTTGTAATATAGAGTTCGCGTTGTTCATTTCACATGGATTCATTGATATGATCGTTTTCTTATGTAACAAAGAAGTTACAGGTTGATTAGGTTATAGTGATCGTACCGCAAACAATGGAGTGACGGCATAGACGCAGTATGGTGTCACAAATCGACAGAGGTACGATGCACTACCGTGTTCAGGTGAGATGCAGTGCGTACCAAACAAGCGTGACGTGCTCACATAAGCTCCGCCCACTGATGAATATTGTAAACTTAAGACCATTTCAGGTTTAAGAGCACAACAGACGTCAGCAGTTACAAGAAATCGATGTAAAGGAGAATACTTCACAAACTGCACCAGTGATCAACAAAAAAGGACAGCGATGCGCGAGAAATTATTCCATTTGTTTCTAGCTGCTTCTGTAGTTGAGCAACTGCCTGATTCTTTTTTTTCCGACACGTAGACAGCAGTGGAAGAAAATTTGTCAATGCATTCTGTCGCGTTGTCGTCTGTCATGTGCGTGTATGTCTGTAGTTCATTTCTCGAGAAGGGGCACGGGTGGCCTAGTCGTCTAAGGCGCCGCGATTCGCTGTGCAGAGTTGTATCCCTTCGATACGCCAGAAACCTATGATTGTGGGTTCGAATCCCGGTTCGCCCCGATTATGTTTCTTATGTTTGTCATCACCAAACCGGTGCTCGTGGGTTTCACCGAAGTGGTAAACGTCTGAGACCTGCATCGCTTGGGGATTTCCTCTCACATTAAGCTGACACGCCGTGATATAACTGAGAAGCGGCGTTAAACCCAACTCACTCACTCATCTCTCGAGAGCTCATGAATCGTGTTTTCTCAATATGTAAATGTATGTCTGCGTATGGGAAGAGAGACCAGATAAAACACCGAGATACATTCAGACATATCTTGTCAAGGCACTTTAAGCAGTGTGTTTCACCATCTAAATCAAACGACATGGACACACATTGTATACTGCATTTGCTGGCTTACACTCAATCATATCAGGTGACACCGTGACGACAAAGAACATAGCATATAACATTTTATATAGCTATTATGATATAAAGTAGGGACTAACAATTTGATAGGGGGATGGGTTATCGAAAGAACTAAATCTTTCCAGAAATAGCTTCAAAAAATAAGTGTGGTTCTGTCTGTTGAAGAAAAGAATTGTCAGCTACAGAAAATACATTTTTGCATGTCGTTTGTTTTGTAAAAATATCTATGCTCTTATGATGAGAACATCTATATTCATGTTCCGTTATAAAGCCCTTGGAAAATCGGTTCTGGCAATATGCGTATTGTCTTCGTCCGAATATAACGTTCGAAGATCGAAGACAGAGTGTATATACCGCCGGAACTAAGAACGGCGACGATCTTGCGACGATAGTTTCACAGTTATAGTATATGATGAGAATACCTATACCTATAACTCGTAGATTCCGGGGTCTTCAGCAACCCATGCTTGCCATAAAAGGCGACTATGCTTGTCGTAAGTGGCGACTAACGGGATCGGGTGGTCAGACTTGGTTGATGCATGTCATCGATCCCTATTGCATGGATCGATGCTCATGATATTAATCACTGGATTGTCTGGTCCAGACTCGATTATTTACAGACCGCCGTCATATAGCTGGAATATTGCTGAGTGCGGCGTCAAACAACAAACCAACCAACCACCCAAACCAACCGACCTATATCTAAAGTCCGTAAGAAATTCGGTGACGATATGTTTCAGGCACTGTAAACAACGGCAGTGCGGCGCGTCAGATAGTCGAGGAATACGGGAATGGGGGGGGGGGGGGGGGGGACTATTTTGAAATGGGACTTATAACGGAGGCAATTATTCACTTCCTTTATCTGAAGCCACATCTATTTTTCATTATTAGAAACCCCTATGGATGCGGTTACGGGGTTGATTCATCAGATTTAACTTGTACCTATATATTCTTCCCCGGCACGGCGATGCGTGCGATCGACTACGCCTGCTTACTGAGTTCCAGAGACCCGTGAAGAACCGGGGTAGAATTGGTCTTCAGGAACCCATGCTTGCCGTAAATGGCGACATTGCATGTGGTAAGAGTCGACTAACGGGATCGGTTGGTCAGAGTCGCTGACTTGGTTGATACATGTCATCGATCCCAATTGCGTAGAGCGATGCTCATGATGTCAATCACTAGATTGTCTGGTCCAGACTCGATTATTTTCAGACCGCCGTCATGTAGCTGGAATATTGCTGAATGCGGCAATAAACACACACAAACAAACAAAATTGAGGTCGAGAACACGGACGTTGAACGTGTTGCATACTTGGAGCGTCCCGCCCTCGAGCAGGGTCGAGTAGTTGGTGGCCGTGTTGACTGCGTGTGTAATTGCGTGAGTAACCCGCTGGTTTCTCAAATAATAACAGGCGGTCATGAGCAGAACTCAAACAAACAAAAATTAAAGTGCAACATATAATCGGCCTGGGCACAGCGATATGTCTGGCCTCGCGAAACGAGATCGATTCTTGGCAGGTTGCACAAATGAGAGATTGCTGAAAGCAAGTATAAATTTTCGAGTTGCAGCTGGAATATTGCTGAGTGCGGCATTGAACAACAAAGCAACCAACCAACCAACAACCCCTGGAAGAGTGGTGACGGCAGTGTAATGATGTTCTGGCCTGACGAAACTAGATCGAGTCTAAACAGGTGTATCAAGGCGAAATTGTTAAACAAAAGAATAAATGCCCATACGGAAGTGTGGTGATGGCAGTGTAATGAGGGTCTGGCCTGACGACACCATGGCGGATGGATCCAAAACTGAGTTGACATGAAACATGAGGCGATGTGCATACGGGACGACCCCAGAAAGAATATTTTAGACGTTCATTTGCTCTTCTGTTTATCAATCTTGACGGGTTCTTGTATATTATTTGCTACATATAATCACCATCAACAGCATTTTGTAAGCATTTTTTTTTTCTTTTTCTTTTTACTCGATTTCTTTGGAAACAATCTTGACTTGTCTCTAAAGATGGGGTGGATTTATTTTCGCAGCACAACTAAAAAAACCGTTTAATATATTTTAACAAAACTTGGCAGATATGTCAAACAGACCTTGAAGTGGTGTCTTTTGCTATTTTCGAGATATTTGGTATTATTATTATTCCTGATTTCCATAAAAAATTGGACTTAGTCTCAAAAGGGTGGGGTAGGTGTCGTTTCCGTAGCACAACTTGAAAACTGTGAAAGACGTTTCTTCCAAACCTGGTACATGTATGCACCAAGTGCTGAAGTAGGGCCTTTTGCAATTTAGGATATTTTTCAAAATTTGATTTTTCCATCTTTCCATCGAAACAAGTTAGACTTAGCTGAAATGGAGGTAGGTGACGTTTCTGGAGAAGTACTAAAATCTATTCAACACTATTTATCCAAACTTGGTACTTGTTACTCAAGGGCTGAAGTGGTGCTTTTTGCTATTTAGGCATTTTTAAAAAAATCCTCTTTCCATGGGAACAAGTTTGATTTTGACTCTGTTCATAGTGGTGTGTACTTGATATATAAATACAAAGATCCGAACCCCAATTCCATAAACAGAAAAGATAGATTAAATACGAATTCTCTCATCATGTTGGACTTAAAGTGACAGTCAAACGATTTGTTCTTTCGAATTTGTGGGGGTTCGTCAACTTATGATGACTCTTGTTGTTCCTAGTGGCAGCTATACCAAAACAAAAAACCCAGAAGTCACGCATACATCAATGTGCCAATGTTCTGTTGTGGAACCTAATATATACTAGGCACCAAATGAAACTGCATGCGATAAAACCACATGCACTTGCACATAAGTAGCAGGGTTCTAGATATATTTATGTAATTGCAAGGTGGGTGACTTACATTATCACTCGATATCAGCCTAAATGGACTTGTATCTTTCTATTGCACATTTGGGCCTTCACTGCAAATTCAGTAAATATAGTATTATTTCAACATGAAGACTGCCATGACATACCATAATATAATGCTGTCATATGTTGATAATATAGGTGAACAATATTCGATTCAAAGTAAAATACAATGTTCTTGTTGTGTCTCCGGCCGTGCCTTACAACACTACCGAAAGAGACGTAACACCATGAAATCATTCTGTGATTCCTTCCAGCCTGGCCAGTGAAACTTGTCGTTTGTATATCCTGAGTAGTAAAATTATATTTTACAAGGATTTTCTGGAACTATTTTTTTCCTAACAAATCCCGCCCTCTTACCTGCGGTGTCATCTGTTGGACTGGTAGGTAGATGTTCTTGTCAGATAATTGCAAACTTTCCCTGTTCCCGGTCTTTGAATTCAGCTGACATTCCTTGGCCAACGACGACCAGTTGACCGAGAGACATCTGGATGAATAGCCACACAGTCGGCGACACTGCTGTAACGTTGTTCTTCGAAATATCTGGAACACAGACCCGGACAAAATCATGTCCTGTATTCCATCAAATTGTCCCTTTGATGCCACACAAAAAGAAAAGTGTAGAATGAGAACAGCTACAAATATGGTATTTGTATCCATTTGCTCCCGATTACTTCACGCAAATACAGTTAAAGCAGTGAAGACAGACCGAGCTCGTCTCCTGAACCAGAAGATAATGATGCAAAATTGACAAGTCATTTCCAAAATCGATACCACAGTGGCTTTTTGTTTGTTTGTTTGGTAACCCGGCAGTCAACTATAATAATCCAGCTGTATGGTGGTGGTCTGTCAGTGATCAAGTCTGGAGCAGTGAAGCCATTGATGTCATGCCTATGTCATGGCTTATACTTGTATTGGTAACAGTTCTCTGGACAGAGACAACGATATAATAACGTTTCAATATAACACGGACGGTTACCTTGACCTTTTTTGTGTTTTAGAAACTATACGTTATAAGAAACAATACGTTAGTTTCATCGGGTTTTAACGGTTAACAACACACCGAATGATCAATTTATACATGTTTTACATCTATTTTGCCTTTTCCGCCCACTGGAATATGTCGCGGAAGATGACTGAGATTGATTATTCTTGGCGTTGACTTTTTTATTTTCGAAAAATGGTTGCGTTGTAGTCACACGTCAGCAAAGTAATTATTTGTGATACTATGACCATTTGACGTCCCATTTGAAGCACATACTGCGGATTTAAGACCAATGTTTTGTGAACGTTTCGTGAATGAACGCATACATACATTATCTTCACGGGTCTCCTTCACTGTCCGCGCCTTTGTCACTCATCGGGTATATGAGCATAATGCTACTTACCCTCTATGAGATACTAACAAACTTATTGGTTCGTAACGAAGCGTCGGTGTACCCGACGAAACTTTACACAGCCGAGTCGCTGTCCATCTGTGCTCACAGCCAATTGAGGGGCGGTCGGGTAGCCTGGTGGTTAAAGCGTTCGCTCGTCACGCCGAAGACCCGGGTTCGATTCCCGACATGGGTACAATGTGTGAAGCCCATTTCTGGTGTCCCCCGCCGTGATATTGCTGGAATATTGCTAAAAGCGGCGTAAAACCATACTCACTCACTCACTCACAGCCAATTGGTAATGCAACAGGTTGTGTGTTCCAGTGTCACCTAGAAGTATTTAAACTGAGGTCGTAGGTGTTTATAACAACGTGAATTGCTTGTGAATTAAGTGATATCCACTCTTCTGGTTACAATGTTCATACTAAAAGTGTACAAGAAAATGATCGCATGACTGATAATGTTGATGTTTTCATTGAATGTATAGATGATAACAGTGAAATTGTTGATGATGATGATGATGATGATGATGATGACAATGATAATGTTTATGATGCAAGTAACCACAATCATCTAAGACTACTTTTATTAAATGTATGTGGCCTTAGAACGTGGTTAGAATATCAAGAATTCACCAATTTGATTAAAAACAAGGATTTCAAATGATTTCAGGAAACCACAACTGTGACACCAAACAAAATTTGTTTTTAGGAACAGTATATATATATCAAGAACATTCAGTTTACTTTACAGGTGAGACTGAATGAAAATGAAAAGAATTTACGTCATTTTCTCTTTTTGAGTGAGACTATGTTATCTTGACTTCAATGCAAGACCTGAACAGCTTTGTGATTATACCATATTCAATATCAAGTACTCAAATAATTTGACCATATTCAATATTAAGTACTCAAAGAATTTGATATTGATATAAATGATATGGGTAATGAACTTGAGCCTGATAAGTTATTAGATAAACGTAATATACCACAGGTCAGGGTTAATCAAGATAATACAAGGGTTAATAATTCAGGTAATAAAATAATAGAGATATGTAAAAATCCTAACTTATTTATCTGTAATGGTAGACTGGGACAGGATAAACATGTAGGTAAAACAACATGTAATGATGTTAGTGTAGTTGACTATGTTATAGCCTCTCCCATGTGTTTACCTCTGTGTACTGACTTAGCCATTTTAGACCCTCACCCCTGTATTAAGATGTGCACTGTCCAGTATCTTTTTCTTTAGCCACTACTGTACTCCAAGAACAAACGGTAGGTATCCAGTGTTAAGTAAATATAGTAACAATACTCACCCTTGACCAAAACGTTATAATGTCGATAAAACTGACAGGTTTCTACAAATTTAATAGCTGAAAAGGTAAACATTCTCACTCGGAAAGCACATGTGGCTAGACAAGTCCTAGCTGACCCACATTTGATCAATGACATTATTGAAGAGGCCGGGCACGTGCTGATAAACGCTGCACGTGCTGCCTTCGGAACCCGGTGGCAGGGTGTCGGTAAGAAATATAAGATGAGTGAGTGAGTATGGTTTTACGACACTTTTAGCAATATTCAAGCAATATCACGGCGGAGGACACCAGAAATGGAAATATAAGATGAACAAACAATGGTTTGGAAAGGAATATATAAATGCTAGAAAAGGTTTTTAGAAAGCAAAACGCCGCTTGAAAAGATTTAATTCTATTTATAATAAACGCCTGTTAAAATATGAATCTAAGGCGTATAAGAAATGTATGGATAAATATATAAAACAATATGAAGATAACTTAGGTAAAATGTTAAGACAAAAACACAAGCACTCTCGAAAAGAGTTTTGGAAAATGTTAAATGGAGATAAAAAGGATGATAATATTTGTCCGGAAATTGAAGTATTTTACCAGTTTTTTTAAATCACTGAATGAGACAACTTCAGAAGACGAAGAAATGGAGGAATGTACTATGGATACTCAATTTGACTGTGAAACTTTAAATAGAGATATCACATCTGATGAAGTTATGATAGCAGTAAGAAAACTAATGAGAAAAAAAGCATATGGTACTGATTTTATAGAAAATGATTACTTAATTGATAGTATTGGTTTATTAACCCCTTTGTTAGTTGAACTATTTAACCTGATATTTGAAAAGGATATACTTCCAGAATCCATTGGTTAGTGGGAATAATTAAACCGATTTACAAGAAAAAAGGTTACCCACTTGATCCTAACATGTATAGGCCTATAACTATCCTTAGTTGTTTTGGAAAACTATTCACCAGAATTTTACACAACCGTTTGACTAAATTCTTAGATAAATATAATATTCCAACCCCTGCTCAAGCAAGATTCAGAAAATCTTTCTCAACTGCTGACAATATATTTGTAATGTATATGCTTATGCAAATATTAAGAAATAGTAAACAAAAATTATACTGCGCTTTCATAAACTTTACTATAGCTTATGACACTGCTTGGCGTGTGGGATTGTGGAGGAAAATGCAGACTATTGGCATCAAAGGTAGATTTCTTACGTTAGTTCAAAATATGTATAAAAATATTAAATCGTTGATACAGTGTGATGATAACATGTCTGGTTACTTTCCTTGTAATACAGGTGTTAGACAGGGAGAAAACTTATCCCCTCTATTATTCTCAATTTTCATAAACGACGTGGAAACCTTTTTGCTTTCATCTGGGTGTGGGGGAGATTTAATCTCAACTATGATGAATACAAAGACTTACTTGTATGGATCCAATTTATAATTTTATTGTATGCAGATGATGCTGTATTATTTGATGAATCACAAGAAGGTTTACAGAAAGCATTAGACTCTTTTAATGAATAGTGTGAAGAGTGGAAATTACATGTAAATGTAAATAAAACAAAACTTGTGATTTTCGGTGGTGGCACTTCGAAAAATTCGAAACTTAAATTTACCTATTCTGATAAAATCCTGGATATTGTCGACACTTAAACGTATTTAGGAATTGTACTTCACAGGAATAGAAAAGCAGCATCAAGTCTTAAGTCCTTTAGTGACAGTGCATCGAAAGCAATGTACCGTCTGATAAAAATATCAAGAAATTTAAATTTACCTTTGGACTGTGTATTATCAGCTTTTGATACGATGGTATTACCAATATTAACTTATGGTTCAGAAATCTGGGGCTATGAAAATTTAGAAATTATAATTATATTATATTATTACACACCTCAAATTCCTCAGACTTATCAAAGGATTGAGAAATTCAACTCCTCTTCATATGATATATGGCGAATTAGGTAGGCTACCATTAAGAATAAGAATTTGTAAACGAATGATATCTTTCTGGCACAAATTAACAAATTGGTGTGTGTAAACTTTCACAGCAGTTATACCAATATTTGTCACTTAATAGGAACAAGGCTATTGAATCAACAAATCCCTAGGTTAGATGTGTTATGAATATATTAGACAGTATTGGATTATCTTATGTATTTAACAATCCGTCAATTTGCACAACAAAGTGGCTAGTGTCAGGAGAAGATCAAATACTTAAAGATCATGTTTTCTGAAATGGAGAAGTGACGCTAATTGTAGTTCTAAAAGGATTATATTATAAACAGTTAAAGGACGCTCCGGTTCTCGATAAATATCTTCTATTGCCAAAACGAATATCATTTCCAATACTACGATTTCGAACCTGTAATCATGATTTACCTAATGAGACTGGCCGATGGAAAAATATTCCAAAGGAATATAGACCTGTAAATAATGTAATTCTCCATCTATTTCTGATGAATTTCAATACTTATTCAGATGTATTTTTTTACAAGAGAGAGGCAAACATTTCTATCACCATATTGTACTGAATTGCCAAATATTATAAAATTTGTAAAACTCTTATCAACAACGAACACACAGGATCTAAAGAATTTATCGAGATTTATTGTAAAAATGTCCATCAGTATTCAAAATACTAGGAAATCACTTGTTATTATTAACTGCCTTTTTGTCTGCTGTTTGTACATAAACCTAATTATCCCCCGCCCAACGAAGTTGGCGGGGGATATAGAAACGGGCTCCGTCTGTCCGTCACGTTTCATTTCCGGAGCATAACTCAGAAACCGTTCAATATTTTTTCATGAAACTTTTCATGTCTGTCAGGTACATGCTCAACTTAATTTTACCATGGCAACAAGTTGAACTTTTGGAAATTAATGAATTCTCCTTTTAAATGCCAAAAAATACAACTTGATACCCATTTAACCTGACTAAGGAATCTTATAAGTCATAATAAAGTTTTTTGTGTGACTACATTTTGTTTTTGTCATCATTTTGAGGTATCTCC